TTATGTCTGAACCAGGGAACCTAAGGTTACTGACTTCCAAACAAGTCAGGTTATCAAGCCAACTTTTTACCATGGCTTAGTAACTTGGCTTGTTTGGAAGTCAGTAAGCAGAGGTTTCCAGTTTGGATTAACCAAAATCTTCCCTTCTTGTTTCTTCGCTCACATGCGGGAGCACAAAGCTTGTTCATATCTCATCTTAATACACTGAGAGGTGATTGTTCAAATGCAGTCTGTTTGTTCAGACCTCAGAATACAGTCAAGGATTTTTTTTTAATGTGAAATGCCTTATATTCAAGTGCTCAGTAGCGCTGTTCATAGGCAGCACATGTTTACAGTGATTCATCTTGAAGCATCACTGATAATTAGGCGATCTGATTTCCTGAAAATATTCCTAACAAGTGATCCTTTGTTACAGTTGCTCAGGAATCTAACACACTTAAAGCAAGACCAAGATCCAGGTAAGCAAAGGCAAGAATAAAGAATAATTCATTTCTTTCTGTGTGCACCTGTTCTTGCCTGCTGCCTTCTACAGGTTCGCAGTCTATGCATCCAGGTGTGAAAATAACTTGATGATTTCCCCTCCCCCCTTGCAAAGAAAAAAAACCATCATTATAAAAAATGGAGGCTTGCTTGCTATGAATCATTAACCAGCTAGCAATTCTTGGCAGGGTAAAAGTAAGAACTACAAGTGATAGCTAGTGCATTTGTATGCTTAATCGCGTAATATATATAAACTATTCGCATATGATGGGAGAGTGAACTAAAATTGAAGAGATGGATTTTTTAATCGTGCAGAGCAAAATAATGGAAATTCCTGTTAGAAAACGTTCAGGAAATCCATCTGAATCCCTTGGCAGTGAAAAAGACAGCTACAGGTAGGGGAATTTATCTAGATGAAGTGAAATGGTTTGAATTGAGCAAAGTAGATGTAAATATAATTGGTTGGGTAAAGGCTCACAATGATGCCTAAATCTAACTCAGATTTAAAGGTAAAGGGACCCCTGACGATTAGGTGCAGTTGTGACCGACTCTGGGGTTGCGGCTCTCATCTCGCTTTATTGGCCGAGGGAGCCGGCGTACAGCTTCCAGGTCATGTGGCCAAAACTCAGATTTAGGCATGCCTAAAACAGAAGTTTAAGCATGTGTAACTCTGCAGTGTTTAAGAACCCTCATGAAAATTCAGAATGATCTTAGTGTTTTGTTTCCATTTTTAATGAAACGGTAACAAACATCAACTATATTCTAGTCAGCACTGAAAACAGTTATTGGCTTAGATCCAAAGACCTATGTGTAGAGTTCTGCACATCCCCAAGACTTCCCTGTGCCTCATTTGCAACCACTCAGTTGCTAGGAAAGTTGCCCAAGGTGCATGTGGATGAGAGATCGTTGTTGTGCTCAGGTTCTGCTTGCAGTGGTTGGCCACTGTGAGGACCTTTTGCCGGAGTAGATAGAACTTTGGCCTAATCCAACAGGCTGTTACATTCTTAACTGTGATTTCTGTTATTTGCCTGAATGGAGGATACTTGCGTGTGGGTAGAGGTAGTGTAGAAACCTTTGATACTTGCAGAGCTTCAGTGTAGCCTATCAGGCTTGTGCAGAGCTTATCAGAGGCCTGGGACAAGAGTCTTGTTGGAATAAAGTTATAATTTTATTGCCCTTTTAAAATGTGCTTCGGGGGTTATTTTGATTATGTATTTTGTATTTATATATTGTGATTTTATCTTGTGAACTGCCCTGAGACCTGTGCGTAGGGCGGTATACAAATTTAATAAATAATAAACTCAAACAAAACCCCCAGCCTGTCCCTAATTTTTTTGCCTTGGCCTCCGAGGCCCAGGGCAAGGGTACCCAGTTGCTCCCCTACCCCCTTGCATGGGCCTGTTGTACAAAGGTAAGAGTCACAACAGTTGCTCCTCACTTTTTGCTTCTGGCCCAGCCTAGGATTAAGGCCCCAGAAGTTTGTTCATGAGGGAATGTGGCCCTCAGGTTAAAAACAAAAAAGTCTAGCTCTGCAGCATTCCATGCCTTGGTCTCGCAATGTAATATATACAACTAAGGAGTTTTCAAAAACTACCCATCTCTAAAAGCCACAGTATTTAGAATGTCAGTTATACGTAAGACTCCCTACTATAAAGAATTGCACACACTATATGTGTTGTGTACAACTGCCTGTACCATATTCAAAAGCCTTCAGTATGTAATCCCTGGAATGACCTGTTTCCGATGTTTTATGTACACATTTCCATCCATATATAGGTTTACCATATATTATCCTTAAATAAAGTGCATTTAAGTGTGATTTCTGCTGATGATAGCTAAAGGCGAGGAGCCAAGTCATCAGATAACTATGAGGTGCTTACCCTAGTTCTACCCAAAGAACATCCTGGCACAGTACTATGCCTTATGTGTGTTTGAAGGAGGTGTTACAATCCTCATATGGTAGAGAAGTTTCACATGGTAGGTAATTACATCCTTTCCACTAACACCACAATAATGCTTAATATGAATCAGAATTCTATCTGTATGACACACACAGTTCACAGTAAATATTATTGTGGAGTGGACTCAAGCTGGCTCCACCATGTGGCTGTAAAGCACCGTCTCTAAACATAAAGTCAGGGGGTATGTCATATTTAATGAATACATTCTTCCAGTGTTTGTTTTTTACAACCTTTGCAGTAGGCATAAAAACCCCAGTAGCTTTCCCCTTTTAATCTTGTCTTTTTTACCCAAGATCATATTCAAGCACATCTATAGAAGATGCGATGAAAAAGGGGGGAGAACCACCAACACCTCCACCAAGGCCACAGAAATCACATTCCAGAGCATCCTCCTTAGATCTCAATAGGATGTTCCAGCAAAACACACAAGGTAAAGTTTCGCAACCCTTTATATATGGCCTCTGCTGATTAATGGTTGTTAATACTGTACAGTGGTGCCCCGCAAGACGAATGCCTCGCAAGACGGAAAAACCGCTAGACGAAAGGGTTTTCCGTTTTGAAGTTGCTTCGCAGGACGAATTCCCCTATGGGCTTGCTTCGCAAGACGAAAATACCTTGCGAGTCTAGAGATTTTTTTTTTCGCTTTCCCCCCCCCTTTATCTAATCTGCTAAGCCTTTAATAGCCTTTAATAGCCTTTTAGCAGCTAATCCCCTAAGCCTTTAAGCCTTTAATAGCCGCTAAACAGCTGATAGCGCTAATAGCGCTAATCCGTCAATGGGCTTGCTTCGCAAGACGAAAAAACCGCTAGACGAAGACTCTTGCGGAACGGATTAATTTCGTCTTGCGAGGCACCACTGTAATAGGCTTTAAAGGCAACTGTAGTAGTTACATGCCAAACAATTTCCCAGTTATTTGCACAGGCACTTACAGCTGCTTCACATATGCATCTTCATTTCTTGATGTTGCAACATCAGATGACAATTTGAATATTCAATGGGTCGGCACATATAGAACTTCCTTTTCACTCACTGTCAGTGTGAGTTGAAAGTGCCACTCAGTTGAGTTGCTGGACTTACTCTTCTTCCGGGAGTCATGAGGAAATGTGTCCTGCCCAGTGGTATCCCAGGGGATCTTCCAAACAACCAAGGCTGTTGTGGGCATAGACAGCAGCAACAGGCAGCCCAAAGTCCAATTCCAGGCAATCAGAGGTTCCAACAAGGGCTCAGGCAAGAGGCAAGTCGAGGGGCATTCCAAGGTGCAGGTAAGCCAAGGCCAAGATCAGATACAAGACCCAGGGCTAGTAGCAAGATGTTGTTCCAGCAGCAGATCTGCAGCCCCCTAGAAGTTTCTACAGAGAATCCTTCTCATAAGGAAGAGTCCTAAGTCACAGCTTACGAGGGTCCTCTTCTGCACTCAAGCATTCTACTTGACTGTGCGGGTCTTGGTCTGCCTCTTGAGGTGCCATCATTCCCAGGATTTCAGAGGTGGTTCTGTCTCTGCTTCAGAAGCTGAGCTTCCTTTCTGGGGGGTGGTATGCCTGCCAGTCTCACCCAAAGGCCCTCCTGGTTCTTCCTTGACTGTTGTTGTGAGCCATTCCTGAGCTTCTGTGGGCTCTAAATCACCCTAAGACAGATTCATCTCAGGTGAGGAGTTATCTGTTGGGGATGGATGTATAAAAGTTTATAAAAGTTATAAACTGCTTGATTGTAAAAACCCTCAAAGCAGTTTACAAAAAATGGGAAATGAAGTCATGTCTTGCATTGGTGAACCAGTGCTTAGCCCTTCATGTATACTGGTTGAACAGTGCATTCCTTTATATAACCTTGCTCTGAAATGTCCAGTGCTTCCAGAGAACTTCTAGTAAACAGAGAAGTTTGTCAAATATTCTCCTCCTGGATTATATGCAGCATGCTAGCCAAATATTATGGCCTGACTGGTGTTTGATACACCCCAGGTTTTTGCATATATTTATCAGATAATTGATAGGCTGCAATACTATATATGACAGTTGTGCAATGCCAGATATGGCTTAAGAAAACGCAACTGCATGTTAGCACAGTTTAAAGCTCATGAGTAAGAGGGACTCTTCCTTTGGTTCAAAACTAATAGAATAGTTTTATGTTAAAAATAAAGCAAATTCTGTAGCTTATGGACCAAGTTTAATATATTACTACTTAGCTATTTGCATATTCCTCTTGGAAAACAGCACATGGTAGCTGCTTGGGTTTTTTAAATTAAACATTTTTTCAGATGACTGTCAAACTTCAGGTGAAGCCAAAGCTGCCACTTTAGATGCCTGGCAAAACTGTCATCATTTATGTCTTTAAGCTTGCTCTCACCTCAGCAGTGCCATCATTTTGCAAAGTTGCTGGTGACTTTGGCTAGGAAAAAAATCTGTGCCTCCATCGTATGGAGATTTTGTCCATTTGTAATCATCTGAGAAACCAATCATACAATTTTTGTTTCGGAGGGGTTCTTTTTCATTGTTTGCTTACTATCCATTGATGGAGATTTATTTATTAAATGTATGTCTCTTCTTATACATACATACGAATATTGCCTAAGGGATAACTCAGCCAGTAGAGCGTGAGACTCTTAATCTCAGGGTTGTGGGTTTGAGCCCCATGTTGAGTGAAAGATTCCTTCATTGCAGGGGCTTGGACTAAATGATCCAAAAGGTTTGATGTGTGTATTTATATGTTTGCATATATAATTTTATAGATGCACACACATCCAACTATCTTTGGTAATAGTGGAGACCGCAGCACTGTGATATGTTTTCATTATGATGCAGTGACCCAAAAAAGCATCTCTCAACAATTCATCATGCTGCCTTCTGTGTCTCTGCTTTGCATACTGAACATTTTGGGTTCCAGGACTTCTTCCACCTGGCCAGCTTTGTACTGCTCCTTCTGCTACAGACTGTGCAAATGGCTGCTTAATTCCTTAACAGAAGAGCTGGTGTGTGCCAGCAATTTGCCTCATGCTGCATTTCCTATGCTGTGTTCCTTTTAATCATGCTGTGTTTAATAGTCTGATCAGTACATTAAATTAAGAAAGGTGGCAACTCAGACTAGTCTTTCAAGTTTTATATGGCTGGATAAAAACCAACAAAGCCCACCCACAGAACACTTAAGGTATTGCTTAAATTTAAGATACTGGTACAATCTTCTGCCGGCTATGCATGCTTAGTATAATTTAAATCTTCATCAAACTGTGATGAAGCCACATAAATTAAATGGGTTATGTAAAATATAAGCAGAATCAGAGCATTTAGATCCTATACACATTGCTATGTAGTCTTCTGTCATATAGCTCTGCATTTAGGGTTGTATTATTCAGAAAGCCCACAAATGCATGTGAAATAGGAACTGAGTAGGCATCTGGGGTTTTTCCTTAGCCTTCTATAATTACAGGGAAAAGTCATACAAAGGTTCCACCTGTAAATCATGAATTCCTATTCATGTTAAATGTACTATTCTATTCAAGTTGCTTTATGACAGCAGGCTGTGGATGAAAGGGCACCTTTCCCCCCTGAAAAACTTGTACAAGTCCTGAATAAATGAGTAGAGCCGTACACTCCTGCTTCAGAATCTGGAGCTAGGTAATTAATTTTTAACACAGTCACAAACTATGTATTTGGAGCTGGATGCTTGAAGAAAATAGTAAAGCAGAGCTTTAAACAGTAGAATACAGGAACTTACTTATAGACTGGCATTGATGAAAGAGAAGCAAAATATTTTGCCTTACCAGTTTTTTTCCAATCAGAAGGGGTAATTCAAAATTGAAAGGGTACCCCAGTGATAATCTTGGCATACTGGAATTTTAACAAAGATCGTGTCCTTTCAAATTGACCTGATTTAAACAAGTATTAAGGAGTTTGTAATTTCACGTACTAGAAGTGTAGATTAAATAATAAACACGAGAATCCAAGGTTGTTGCAGGAAGTTTCCATGCAGATATTGGGGTTTAATATTCATCTAATAGCCCCTTTCCTAGCAGAGCCCCTGAAGGAGTGACACATTGAATCCTTCTTGGTCCATGGAGGAATATGCTCAAATGTGAGCCACCATTGAAAACAAGACAGGGAAATGCAAGCTTTTTTAAAAAAAAAATACTAATAATTACCATATTTTTCCGTGTATAAGACTAGGTCTTTCCCCTTTAAAAAAGTCAAAAATTAGGGAGCGTCTTATACATCTCCTCCCATTTTCTTAATCTGAGTCCCCCAAAATAGGGGCGTCTTATACATGGGGGCATCTTATAGACGGAAAAATACGGTATGTATTTTACATATCTTAGTACATCAATTATACAATTGCCATTGTTAATCTTACACTCCACACACTTGACTTCCACACACATCCCTCTGTGGGGTCTTATTTAGTCCTTGTTAAGCTGCATCTCCTTAATTGCCACCCATCTTCTGCTTATTTTTAACTGCTGCTCATATATCTAATCCCACTTGGAAGTTTATCTGATTGTTATATTTCTTTAAATATTCCCAAAAGTATTCCCACGCTTCTTTTATATTGGACTCATCCTGATTTGTTATCTTTTCAGTCAACATTGCTAGCTCTGCGTATCCTATTAGCTTATTCTGCCAATCTATTTTTGTCCTTCCACTTTGGGGCATAAATTATTCTCACTGCTGTTATTACATAAAGGAAAAGACTAAGTACTTTCTTGGGTATTTCCCCCTCTACTATACCCAATAAGAACATCTCTGGTTTCTTGGGAAACGAGCCCCTTAATATCTTTTTTAATTTTGAGTATATCATCTCCCAATACTCTTTGGCTTTCTAACAATGTCTCCCCGTACATTTCTGAGAACAATTCAAAGTGTTGGTGCTGACCTTTAAAGCCCTAAACAGTCGCGGCCCCCATCATTCAGCCCGGACATTGAGGTCCAGCGCCGAGGGCCTTCTGGCGGTTCCCTCACTGCGAGAAGCGAAGTTACAAGGAACCAGGCAGAGGGCCTTCTCGGTAGTGGCACTCACCCTGTGGAACGCCCTCCCAGCAGATGTTGAGAAAGAAACAACTATCTGACGTTTAGAAGAACATCTGAAGGCAGCCCTGTTTAGGGAAGTTTTAAATGACTGATGTTTTAATGTATTTTTAATCTTTTGTTGGGTATAAATAATAAATTATTATTATTATTATTATTATTATTATTATTATTATTACAATATTTGAACAATGGTAGCTCCAGCAGTTATGCTGGCATTTTCTTAGGGCATTCTAAGGTCACACAGTATCCCAGTCTCACAGTATCCTCTCCCCAGCTTGGAGTCGTAAGGGAAGCCTCTTATCAGTGCCCCCTGTACCTCCCTGCTGCCAGGGGAAGAAGCCAAGAGATGGAGATTCCTTGGGTCTCTGGCTCTCTCTTTCCTTCTCCAGCAAGCCAGCCTTTATCCTCTCAGGGCTATTGAAGCCCATGAGCTCCAAGAGCTCTTCATTAGGCCTTGGTGATAACAGCGGCTCCCTGTCATGGGCTGTACTGACTGAGTTGCCCTGTAGAGTTTCATTGGGAACTTCTTAAAGGGGCAGTCATGTCCCTTTAAGGGAATCCCCTGGAGATCTTCACAGCCCCAAATGCAAAAAATAATAATTTTAAAAAACAGACTCAATTTCTGGGTTGTTGTTGAATATCTATTTTCCACAATCTTGATATGAAGGCCATGGGGTTTAGATTATATTGGCAGGATGTGCTGTGATGTGCTCTCTTCTCTCTGTGTGTAGTGCTGAACTGAATTGTTTCTAAGTGTGTGCATTTATGTAAGATCAAAGGAAGATCTTAACTTGTTTATAGAAATTATGAACCAGTACTTTCTAGCACCAGCTGCAGGTGTGTTGCGCCATTGCTCTTTCCATTTTTGACCCTTCTCCCCCTCCTGTTCTTTATATAAAGCACTTTGGACTTAAGATGATTATATACTGCACTGTGGAATTTTTATTGCTAACTACACTTAGACTACAGAGCCCTAAAGTTACATAAAAATGTAGCAAGCATTTCCAGAAATTTAGCATGCTTCAAGATGTCCACCTACTTCCATGGCACTTCTCATAGAAACAGAAATGTCTGTTATGCTTATTACATCTTTTTTGTGGAACTTAAGCCGCTGGATTATATACCCGTCTTTGATATCCACATGGAAGTGGCCCCAAGTGAGCATAAATAAACAAGAGTTCTAATACAGTAAAGGTAAAGGTACCCCTGCCCGTACGGGCCAGTCTTGACAGACTCTAGGGTTGCGCGCCCATCTCGCTTAAGAGGCCGGGGACCAGCACTGTCCGCAGACACTTCCGGGTCACGTGGCCAGCGTGACAAGCTGCATCTGGCGAGCCAGCACCAGAGCAGCACACGGAACGCTGTTTACCTTCCCGCTAGTAAGCGGTCCCTATTTATCTACTTGCACCCGAGGGTGCTTTCGAACTGCTAGGTTGGCAGGCGCTGGGACCGAGCGACGGGAGCGCACCCCGCCGCGGGGATTCGAACCGCCGACCTTTCGATCGGCAAGTCCTAGGCGCTGAGGCTTTTACCCACAGCGCCACCCGCGTCCCTTCCTCTAATACAGTAGTTTCTCCATAAAACAAAATGTACAATCTGCATTGTTTGGGATGTATTTTCATTTGCATAAAAATTGAAAGCCATAGCCTCTGTTCTGAATATTTTTAGAGTTTGACTTTCAGATTTTATTCAGTTGAGAATGAGTTCAGTTCCTAAATGCATGCACACATGCCATTACTGTCTCTAACAAGCAGAACCCAACAGTGACAAATCTAGCATGCCACTATACTTGCTTGTCTACTGCATATATATTATAATATATAGAAATACATTCACATTCACATGCATGTGCATATTTGCTTTCTTTCTCTCTGACTCATACACACACACACACTGCTGTCCTGCTTCGGAAGAGATTTTTGCTGATGCTCTGTTCTAAGAACTCTGGATTGTGCCTGGGAATAGTGCTCACATAAGCATACTACTTTCAAACAGGTCAGAGATATTCTGAAACAGCAGGATTTTATGAATATTTCATGAATAGCTTAAGTTAGAATTTTAGGATTAAAAAAAAGCAGGAAACTGGGTCAAACATGCCTGGTCTGAGCATTTTGCTTGCCTAGAATGCTGAATGCCCAGATACGGCATATTTTCCTAAGCTGAACAAGATGTAGCGCATATATATATCCTGTTGTGAGAGAAACAACTTAATGTTCTGAAATGAACTGCATTCTGTACCTTTGGCGGTGCTGAAAAGATACTGCACATGAAACCCTTGCTTGGAAGAAGCCCCAGTTTATTATTTCCTTTTAATACAATTTGCTATTTCTCCATGGGGATTTACCTGACCCCACAGATGGCAGTGTTAAGGGTCAGGACATGAACACACAATAAATATTTGCAGTGGTTTTACAGCAAGTTTAATAAAAGGACAGCAAATGAACACTTTTTGTAATCCTGTTGTGGTCAAAAATGGAGTTTTCAGAAGAAATTGAATTCAAGATATAAAGAAAAACTATGGATTATTGGCAACACATAGTTCAAAGTAACTAGTTTCTCATTTAGGTGCTGCTAAATGCATTTCAGAGCACCTTCACTGAAAGAATGCAGGACTGATTATGAA